TTATTATTATTATCTCTCGATAGTTTGTATGTTATAGGAGAGCAGATGGGCTATCTATCAGTTATCTCTTATTCTCTCCCTGAGTGACCAGCTCTTCTCTTTTTCCATAAATACATTTATCTAACATCTTTTATGTTGCTTTTCTTGTATGTCTTAATTTATGATGTGTTACAACCCATTGTATAACTCTCTTTTGCTCCTTGGGTGACCCTCAACTTTAATTCTGTAGGGCCTAGGGAATTCTGTGACTCAAAGCAATACAGCATAACTAGAAGAATAGTGCTGTTAAAGAAAAATAAAAGAACCCCCAATTGAATGTGAACTCCTTGAGAGTAGGTACAGTTTTTCTTTTGTCTTTGTATCCATGGTACCAAGGACAGTGCCTTGCACAGAAAAGATACTTAACAAATGTTTCTTGAATTGGTTTGGATAGAAATAGATGAAACTTTTGTTTCAGAGAGAACCTTGGCATTATTAAAAGCACTTCAGTTTCCCAAAATCTTTCCAGTCCAGTGTCTTTCCACTTATTTAATTCTAGGTCCAATTCATTGTCTATTTTCAATATTTATTCTAGATCAATCAACAAATATTTGTTAAGCATGTACTATCAGCTGGACACTGTGGTAGGGACCAAGGATTTTCACAAAAATGAAACATCCTCTACCCTTAAGAAGCTTCATATTCTCTTTCACCTTTTCTCATTACTCTCTTCTCTTTTTTTTCTCCCTTTCTGTCCTTCCCCTCTTCCATCTCTCTTTCCCTCCATTCCTCTTGCTTTCTTTCTCTCTTCTCTTTGTATTGTGGACCAGCTCTCTGGATTTACCTGCATATCAGAGTTTGGAGGAAAAACATTCTTCATTTGAGGCAGCTAGGTGGCACAGTGGATAAAGCACTGGGCCTATAGTCAGACTTGAATTCAAATTTGACTTCAGATGCTTATTAGTTCTGTAACTCTGGGAAGGTCACTTAACTTTTGCCTGTCTCAGTTTACTCATCCATAAAATGGGAAATAGTATCTACCTCCCATAGTGGTTGAGATAATGAAATAATATTTGTAAAAATAAGATAATATTTTTAAACTACTTACCAGAGTACCTGGCACTTAATGTAGTAGGCACTTAATGATTGCTTATTTCCCTCTTTCATCCACTTGGTTTTTTAAAACTCTTTGGAAAATTAGACCAAATTCTTCTGAATGATAATACATTTTACTTAGGATACTTGGGCAGTTTTCTGGGCCTTAATACAATTAGCCTAATGTTGTCCACAAACCATGAGCATCGCGTGGGCCTTACCATCTATGGGTTATCCCTCTTACGTTTAGTCCCTTTACTAGACATCCTCTGTGATGGTGGCAGAGACCTTTGTCAAGCTTTAACCCATTCCTGATGACAGTAAGGTTCTCGCACTACCTGCCTTCCTTCCTACTAGCTTCTTCTGTGTCAGTGTTTCCTTTTATGCCTCATTTGTATGAGATAATTACTCCTTTTTATCTCTCCCTACACAATTTTATTATTTTATAATCATACCATCATACTCAGCTCAGCCGACGCCTTTCTTTCAAACTGTTTATAATGATTTTAATGACAATCATGAGTACTGCTAATATTTTACGTATAAGAAGTAAACAATTTGACCTTATTGAATCCCTTATAATTGGTCTTTAATGTTCATTTTATATTTCTCCTGGATGTCATATGTTGAAATTTCCCTTAAGTTCTAGGGGTTTTGTCACAAAAACCTGAAAGTCTTTGAGTTTGTTAAATGTCCATTTTTTTCATTCAGGATTATACTTCACTTTTCTGGGTAAGTTACCCTTGATCGTAACTCCAGCTCTTTTGCTCTATGGAATATAGTATTCCAAGACCTATGGTCCTTCAGTGTAGTAGCTGCTAGGTCTTGTATAGTCCTTCTTGTAGCTCCTTGATATTTCAGTTGTTTTTTCCTTGTTGCTTTCAATATTTTCTCCTTAACTTGGGAGCTTTAAAACTTGGCTATGGTATTTCTGTAAGTTTTCTTCCTGGAATCTCTTTCAGGTGGTGATTGGTCGATTTTTTCTTCTATTTCTACTTTGCCTTCTTGTTCTAGAACTTCAGGGTAATTTTCCTTGATAATTTCTTGTAATACTGTAGCAAGAGTCCTTTTTTTTTTTTTATCGTAATTTTCAGGTAGTCTAACTGTTCTTATATTATTTCTCCTAGATCTGTTCTCCAGATCATTTGTTTTTCTGATGAGATGTTAAACTTTCTGTTTTATTTATTCATTTTTTTTATTTTGTTTTATGATTTCTTGGTGTCTTAGAATGTCACTAGCCTCTTCTTGCCCAATTCTAGTTTTCAAGGGATTATTTTCTTCCTTAAGTTTTTGATTCTTTATTTCTAGTTGGTTGACTTTCTTTTCATAATTTTCTTGATTTTCTTGGAATTTTTTTTTTTTTTTGGCAAGGCAATGGGGTGAAGTGACTTAAGGGCACACAGCTAGTAAGTGTCAAGTGTCTGAGACCAGATTTGAACTCAGGTCTTCCTGAATCCAGGGCCAGTGTTCTATCCACTGTGCCATCTATCTTCCCCCTCTTATTTGATTATTTAAAGTCCTTTTAAAGTTCTTCCAAGGACTCTTTTGTGCTTGGGACATTTTACGTTTCTCATTGAAAAAAGAGTGGCTTTTTTAGCTCCATTATCTTCCTCTGAATATGAACCCAGATCTTCTCTATCCCCATGGTAGCTGTCTATGGTTGGGTTCTTTCTCCTTTGCTTACTCATTTTTATTTATTTATTTTTTGTTTTATTTTGTTTTTAGCAGCTCAGTGTAATCAGGTTGTAGTCCCAAGGTATGGAGAGTGATGCCCTAAGCCTCAGGTCCTTAGTGTTGTTTTCTAAGGTCTATTTCGAGGCCCAAACTTGGGTTCTCCTCTCCACTTCATGGCTAGGGCTCCCAGCCACAATGTCCCACAAATAATCTTGCTCCCTGCAGTCCCTTGGATGGCTGCAAACTACGGGTATCCCCTCTGCCTCGGAACTGAAACCAAGGATCTGCTCTCCTGCAAGTGCCCACAGCCAGTGGGGTCCTTGCCCCTCACTGTTGCATTCAAGAGGTGTATGCTAGCTCCTTCTCCCTTGCAGTGGCAGCCCAGGCCAGGACAGCACAGCTGTGCTTGGAGTCCCTCAACAGTGAAAGTTCCTTCAGTCTTTCCTACTCTGCAGTCAGGTCAGATTATCACACTATCTGCGAGATGACAGTTTCTAAGGCTGAGGCTACTTAGCCTCTCAGCCCAGTTGTGCCCAGGGCTTGTGGTTTGTTGATTCTGCAGAGTAGGCTGGGAGGTGTTTGCACTTCAGGCAAGTGGAACCTCTGCCCCTGGAAGTCTGGTCTGTCCTGGGGTCTTCTCAAAACAATTGCTTTACCCCACATTTATTTCTGCTGCTCCAAGGTGATGTTCTGTCTTTTTTGTGGAGGAAATTTGGAGAGCCCAAAGTTTTCTGACCTACTTCACCATCTTCCCAGAATCCTCCAAGTTACTAAATTTTAAAAGTGTATCTTGATCTAATTTTGAGAGACTTACTGGTTTTTTTGAATAACAGGTTAATACCCCATCATCTTCCACAGGGAATATAAGGACATTTGCTGTAATTATTTTCATGATGGTTTTCTTACAAGTACTTATCATGAATCTTGCAAAAATGAAATGACCAAATATCCTATGAAATGATATTTCTTGTTGCTGAAATGACATTTCTTGTTGCTTTTTGTTCCATGATAAAACCAACTAGGTCAACTCCCTTATTTCTTTCTTCAGGGAGAACCTGTGAATTCTCCTTCCTTTTGGATGCAAATTCTTTTTCTTTTCTGGATTCATTTATAGCAAGAATATTACAATTGATATGATCTAGTTCCTGAAGTGGTATACCTATTCTTTGGTTATTAGATAGTTATTTGACATTATCTAAGTTAATGTTTATAACTGTGATTTTTAATATTATGCATCCTCTTTCCTATTGCTTTGTCACCCTTGTTGCAAAAACAGAAGGGGCTTGAATAAGACTGAGTATGAATTTATGGGATATGAGCCTTTCTGTACTTAGGCAGGTCTTGGAAAAGCATATTTGGTCTGTTGCTTATATTTGATTTCATATATACATACATGCACACACATAATAAAAACAAATGTGTTTGCATGTGTGTACACATACACATCTTCATATTGTGTATGTGTGTATTATATATGTGTGTATATATATATACACACACACATTTACACACACACATATATATACACACACACTCACGTACTTTTTTCTATGTACTTTTTGTCTTTTTGTTAGAATGTAAGCTTATTGTGAGTAGAGATCTTTTCATTCCTTGTATATGTATCCCCCAGTGCCTAGTATAGAGTTTGGCACATAGTAGGTCCTTTAAAAATACTTGCTGATTTATTGGATTATACTTAAAGCCTCATCCGGCATGGTAGAAGCTGTTAGAAATTGCCTTCTGCTGGCATTGCCTGGTGTTTACAATGAGGCATTCAAGTAGAATTTTTGAAATGTGAAGCAAAATACTGACTTGAAGTTTTCATAGCTTATATACTATCGTACTCCATTGGAAGAAATTTAAGAAACTTAGATATTATCTTTTCTCATATCTCCCAACAAATTCAATACACAGAGCCATTATTGGAATTGAATATTTCTTACCCTTTACGTCATGTTCCTACTTGACAGTGTTTTGAATCTCTGGAGCTTTTTAAACTTTCCTTTTTAATGGGCTTCTCAACTGACTTTAATCATTTCTACTCTTCTCTTATTCCAAACTTCTCTTATTCCAAACTTTATAAACAGTTATTGAATCATTCAGTGCTTTTCTCATTTACTTGCATTAGAATCTGAATTAGGAAACTATCAACTTTGTTAACTGTTTTGCTTTCTTTATTACTGTAGTTTTTGCTGGTTGATTTTAAAGATTTTTTTTCCCCCTCCTTTTGACATTTCCTACTTTTCTCTCAGTGAATTTTTAGCAGAAGACAGTCAAGAGAAATTTTGGAATTTTGTAGAAGCCAGTGAAAATATTGGATCAACGGATCATGATGGTAAAATTGCAGTAAATGCTGCTTTGACTTTTTTTTTGAATGTTGTTTCTCTCTTATATTGTGGTTTCCTTTGTTGTATAAGAAGCATAAAAGATACCGAAAAAAAAATTTTTGTTAAATGACTTAAGTTGAGAAGTAGTAGAGTCAGGACAGAGCAATAGTAGCTTAGATACAATTTATAGCCATTATTTTAGAAGTGATTTCTTTTTCCTTGTATTTTTGTACTAAATGGCTGAAGCAAAAAAAAAGTTTAAATATTTTCTGGTGATGAAATTTATTGTAGGTTATTCAGTAAATAACAAACAAGTTTTTGACTTGAACATGTTTTAGCCATTGGTCTGGGAAATGTAGTAAGAGAAACTCACCTTAATTTGTGGACTAATTATTAATGTTGTACACAGTGTGTTCCATTATGTATATTTATGAATACAAGTATTCTTTGTACAAGCTAAAAAGCTCAGGTAGAACTTGAGTAGCAGAATGTCAAATTCAGTTCTGAAGTTATGTGGTCTAAGCATTAACAGTCTTTAGGGCTATTAAAATATACCTAATGTTTGAAACCTGTACCTTCAGATTTTACTTTTATAACTGAGAACTAGCTAGAATTGTTTGAATTCTCAAAAATCAGGTTGCTTATTATTAAGTCAAATTTATATAATTGTGCTTTATAATGAAATTTGAAGTCTGTTATATTATAATTAACAATTGTAATATATGGTATGTGGTATTTTTGACTGATAGAAGTTGGTTATGGAAATGTTTCATTTCCTTGAACAAATCAGGAAAATTTTCTTTTTTTTAAAGCTTTTATTTATCAAACAGTGAGGTCTTTTTTTGATATTTCTTATTACTTTCTTAACAGTTTTCATCATTCGTTTTTAAAATTTTGAGTTCCAAATTCTCTCCCTCCATCTCTACCCCCCTCATTGAGAATGCAGGCAATTTGATATAGGTTATTCATGTGTAGTCATACCAGACATATTTCCATTTTAGTCGTGTTGTAAATTGTCTTACTTTTCCATTGCAAAGCTCTCTCCAAAGCTTTCCAAGTAGCCAATACCCTTTTATACTTTTCCTCTTCCATTCATTATGTCCACTACTCCTTTCTTCCACTCTCTACTAAGGACTTTCTCAGAATAGAGGCCATTTTCTATGAGCTCCTTCTCTCCTCTATATCTCTTATATTCCATTAATCCCCTGTTCTCTTTTCCATTGCCTCCTTAAAGAGGTGGCCTTCATGTAACCTTGATTCCATCTATTTCCCTTTTCTTCAGTAGGGTAACCCACAATTTATTCCCCCTCTTAATCTTCAGTCCTTTCCTTCTGTCTAGGACCCCACCCATACCTCAGTCCTGGGGAAAAAAAACAAACAATGTCTTTATACCTTCAAACTGTCATCCCATATAGGTCTTCTCTTTCACAGTTAAACTACTAAAAAAAAAAAGCTATCTGTATATATTTCTTCCGCGGACTCTTCTTTGCAGTGTGACTTCTGACCTTACCTGTTACCTGAAAAATTTCTCTCCAAAGTTATTGATGATTTATTGATGGCCACATCTGTTTTCCTTTTCTCAGTCCTTCTTCTTTTGACTTCTCTGCTGCCTTTTACACCATGGAACCCTCTCTTCCTGGGTACTTTCTCCTCTGGGAGTTTTTATGACACAGCTGTCTCTTGGTTTTCCTCCTACATGTTTGACTCTAACTTCTAGATCTACATTCACATCACGCTCCTTAACTGTGGCTGTATCCTGAGCCCTTTTCTCTTCTTTTTCATTGAGTGACATCAGTTCTTGTGGCTTTATAATTATTGCCTGTATGCAGATGACTTTCAACATGTTTATGTTCAGCTGTAGTCTCCCTCTGTAGCTCCAGTCATACATCCACAAATGCTTTTTGTATGTTCCAAACTTAATATGCCTGAGGCATCTCAGACTCAGTTTGTTCCAAATATAATTTCTTATCTTCCTCCTCAAACCTAGTCCTTTTCCAGACTTCGTTTTTTTCTGTTTAATGCACTACCATCTTTCCAATAACCCAGCTGCTGTTATTGTCTTTGACCCCTCACTTTCCCTCACATCACATATACAACTAGTTTGCCAAATCTTGTCCTTTCCTCTCTATGCACATGGCTACTGCCTTTGTTCAGGTCTTTATCACTTCTCACCTAGACTGTTGCCATAGCTTCCTAATTGATCCTCTTAACTCAATTCTCTCCCTTTTTCAGTCTGCTCTCCATACCGTAGCCAACATGATTTTCTTGGTCTAGTTTTGACCCTATCAGTCCTTTACTAAATAATCCCTATTGTTTCCCTCTTGTTCCTTTGATTAAATATAAACTTCTGCTTGGCATTTGAACCCCTTCACAACCTGGTCCCAACCTGTCTTTCTAGTTGTATTGTAGGTTGTTTGTCTTCCTTCATATTACCATGCAGTCAGACTGGCATTTTTGCTGTTCCTCTACAAGATGCCCTTTCTCTTGGCTCTGTGCTTTTGCGTTGGCTCCCCCCATGCCTGAAATGTGTTTCCTTCTCACCTCAGCCTCTTTGGAATACCTTGTCTTTTCAAGAATCAGCTTAAAACACCACTTTCTACATGAAGTCTTTCTTGATTACCCCAGATGCCAGTGCCCTACTGCCCAAAGTTGTCTTGAATTTATTTTGCATCTGTTTTATGCACTTATTTACTTATGCATTCTCTCTGATGGAATGTGAGCTCCCTGACAACAGAGATTGATTACTTTTTGTCTTTATTTCACCAGAATGTTGCACAGTACCTGGCACATAGTAGGCACTTATTAAATCCTTATTGATTGACATAATAGGTGCTTAATAAATGCTTGTTGGTTGATTGGAAAGCACAACTGTAATTATATGATAACTTAGATATAATAATTTTTACATATAGTAATATATTTGATCATTTATAATCAAGTACAGTTCTTGATTCTTTGTTTTCTTCTTTGCCAGGTACTGATTATTCCTATTACAATGAACTATTGAAGACAGCATTTCATTATCTGTCACCTCTTCAGCAGAACTTGCTGAAATTTTCTCTGTCGCTTCGCTCCTACTCAGCTACAGTTCAAGCCTTCCAGCAGGTTAGTATGCAACAGTACCTTTATAGAACAACTATTCCAATAGAATCATAATATGATTAATCTGTACATTGAGTATATATTAATTGGTTAATCTGTACATTGAAGATATACAAAATGCCTGTTTGAGATCTCTAGTTCAAACTAACTTCTTGTTTATATGTAGTAATCTTTATTTTTAACTGTTACATCATAAATTCTGTTTGGGAATTTTATCTCACCCATTTTGGATGAAAAAAGCAGAATATATTTCACCTAAACTATCCCTGTTCCAAAATGACACACTCCCAAACTCCTAAGACAAATAGTTTTGTGAGTGTGCCATTTCTTTGCTCACTTCTCTTTATTTCTATATGGCCATGTCATTTTTTTGTAAACAGATTAAATTACAGAACTATAACTGATCTCATAATACCTTTTCCTTTTCCTATCTCATTACATCCAAATATGTGAACCTACATTTAATTAAACTTGCAGACGTGCATATCTCATTAAACCCTTATATTTATGTCTGTCATTATACATCCATTGAATTTGTGCATCTTGTTTTGTCTTTCCCTTAGAACATTTCATTAAGCTCTTTATATAATTAAACCTTTTCCACTTAGCCTTCCCTTGGTCTCTTTTCTGCTTGCCACAGCTCATTTTTTGGGGGGCATTTACCATTCTTTTTATTTGCATTCATATTACATTTCATGGCTCATTTAACTAAAGTGAATTGCCTATACCTTTGAAGTTAAAATTAATGTTTTTAATATTTTCAAGTTAGACTCCATTTTGCGGATATCTTGTTACTGTTTGAGACATTGAATCAGAATCATAGAGTGTTAGAACTGGAAGAGACTTTAGAAATGACCTACCCTCATCCCCTCATTTTACAGACTTAGAGAGACAGCACCTTTGAATTTAGATAATGGGGTTGGGTGTTTGGAAATGGTAGGATTGCATCCGTAGTCGGACTATTATATCTTCTTTTTGGCTAGAGAGTATTTTTAAAAATTACTTTTATTTTGCCTGGCAGATAGCAGCTGATGAACCTCCACCGAAAGGTTGTCACTCATTCTTTTCAGTGCATGGAGAGAAGACTTGTGATTTTGACACACTTGGAGCCCTTTTACAGACAGCATCTAAAAGGTAGAGTGTGTGTCTCTGATATTTTCCTCTGTCAATAACGTGTAATCTTAGGACTGTAGATCATAGATTTCAGAGCTGAAAAGAACCTCAGAGGCCATCAAGTCCAAGCCTCTCACTTTATAGATGAGGGAACTGAGGCACACAGAGCTTTAAATGATTTGCTCCGAGGTCATATGACAATTAAGTGTCTGCAGTGAGATTGAAACTGAGGTCTTCCTGACTTCAAGTGTAGTGTTTTACTCATTACACCATGTGGCATACTCATATATAAATTATGTCATAATGTGTTATTTTTCTTTTAAAATTTATTCTTTGTTATTTAATGTTTCCAGTATCCATTGACCATTATACTATTATTTGTATCTTAGGATAATGTACCAGGTTTGTTTGTTAACTTCATTTTAAAAATTAGGATTTTTAAAAAAGCATTACAAATGTGATATTATTCTATGAAAATATAGTTTTCAAACAATTAAGACTAAATAATTTAAACTAAATAGTTAAAATTTTATTAGAATATTCTATCAGTAATTAAAAAGCTATTTTCCCCACAGTTAGGTGATTTGTGGAAGCTAAATGGAAGAGGTAGATATTTTTTAAATTAAAAAAAATTTTTTTTTAAATTTTTTAATTTCCACAAGATTTTGAGTTCCATATTTTCTCCCCATCTCGTCCCTCCCCCATCTCCAAGACAGTTTGCATTCTGAATACCCTTTCCCCTAATCTCCCCTCCCTTCTATCTCCCCCCACTTCTCTTATCCCGTTCCTCTTTTATTTTCCTGTAGGGCAAGATAGATTTCTATACCCCATTGCCTGTATATCTTATTTCCCAGTTGCATGTGAAAACAATTTTTTAACATTTGTTTTTAAAACTTTAGGTTCCCAATTTTCTCCCTTCCTCCCTCCTCACCCACCCTCATTGAGAAGGCAAGCAACTTGATACAGGTTATTTGTATAGTCGTGGAAAACACTTCCATAGTAGTCATGCTGTGGAAAACTAACTATATTTCCCTTCATCCTATCCTGCCTCCCATTTATTCTATTCTCTCTTTTGACCCTGTCCCTCCTCAGAAGTGTTTGCTTCTGATTACCCCCTTCCCCAATCTGTCCTCCCCTTTATCATCTCTTTCCCTCCCTCTCGAACTCTCTTATCCCCTTCCCCCCTATTTTCCTGTAGGGTAAGATAACTTTCCACACCCAATTGAGTGTGTTATTCCCTCCTTAGGAAGCCAAATTTGAGGAGAATAAGATTACTCATTCCCTCTCACTTTCCCCCCACTTCCCCTCCACTGTAAAAGCCTTTTCTTGTCTGTTTTATGTGAGATAATTTACTCCATTCTACCTCTCCCTTTCTCCTCCCAATATAATCCTCTCTCACACCTTGATTTTATTCTCCAGATATCAGAGGTGGATATTTTACTACATCTCTAGGGCATCAAGTTCCCTTATCTTCTACTAGTTTTTAATTATAATCTTATTCATTTACGGTGTTATGTTTATTATACATGCCTTAGGTATTGAAATGTCAAAATGAGTACTGGCTGCATATTAATGAAATGTTCAGACAGAGTTCTCTCAAATTGTTTATATATTCAGTAATAGAAATTGATTATTTTGTTTGGCTTTGACATTTTTTTTCTAATGTAAGAGGTAACTTTGATTTATTCTTTGCTTGGAGCTAGATTATATTCTTAACAGTCTTAGAAAGCTCACCTAGTCTCCCTGGGACCTAGTTTCCTTACTTTTAAAATGAGAGGGTCTCCATTTCCTTTGTGGATCCTCATCCATGTCCTTCTGATCTGTGAGAATTCTGCAGGGCTCTGTCCTGGAGTCTCTTTTCTCCTTCCATATACTTTCTAAGTTCTTCAGCTTTCATGCGTTCAGCCATGTTCTCTATACAGAAGGTTCCCAAATTTATACATCTAACCCTGTCCTTTCTCTTCTGTTCCAGTCCTGCATCATCGCCAATTATTAGGCATTGATCTGTTGGATATCTTCCACTGGATAATCTATAGGCATCTCAACCTGAAAGGAAATCATTATATTTTCTTCTTAAAATTAAAAAAAAATATTTTATTTATGTTTATCAGCCAAAATCTGCCTTTTCACCCTCCTGACCCCAGCCTTTCCTCCTGTCGAGAAAAGGAGAAAACCAAAACCTATTACTAATATATTTATAGAACTCATTACATTTCTCCCCATATTTATCCCTTTTTCAAACATTCTTATTTCTACCATCTTTCAAATTACCCAGGTTTACTTCTTCATCTATTTTTTCTTCCTCACACTTCATATCCAGTCAGTTGCTAAGTCTTGTGGACTTAGCAACTTTATAACTTTTCTCAAATTCCTCCCCTTCTCTCACCTTCACAATCATCACCACCCTAGTTCATGTCTTCATCACTTCTAACCTGCAGCATTGTATTAGCCTCCTTATTGGTGTCCCTGCTCCTAATCAGTCATCCTTACAGTTGCCATATTGATAACCCTAAAGCACAGATCTGACATGTCCCTTACTGGCCTACTTAAGAACTATAAATATCTGCATATTGCCTCCAGCATAAAATATAATTTTTTTTCTGTTTGGCATTTAAAAATCTCACAATTTGGCTCCACCTTACCTTTCCAGGCTTACTACAGGTTATTCTCCTTTATGTTATTTTTCCCGCCAAATAGTCTATTTGTTTTTCTTTGTGCATGTCAATCAGCAAGCATTTCTTAAGCATGTACTGTGTGCCAGGTGCTAGGCTAGCTAGCTGCTGGGGGTAAAAAGATAAAAACAAAATAGCCCTTTCCCTCCTGGAGCATATCAAGCAAGCGGAAGCACCATATACATATGTAGACACGTACAAGATAGATACCAGGTAATTATCTGGGGAAGGCGCTTGCACAAGCTGGGAGAAAAGGAGAGACTTAGTGTAGAAAGTGTGACCAGAACTAAGCCTTGAAGGAAAGGATTCTGGGAGGTATAAGTGAGGAGGTGTACATTCTAGGGATGGACAACATCCAGTACAAGAACATGGGATGGAACCAGGTTGTAAAGGACTGTAAATGCCAAATAGAGGAGTTTTCTATTGGATTTATCAGGTAATAAGAAACCACTGGAGTTTAAGTATAGGAGATTTACCTGGTCAGACGTGCTTTAGGAAAGTCATGTTGGTAGCTGTAAAATGTTTGAAGCTGTTATGTGGAGATTTGTCCTATTTGGTCCCAGAATGCAGAATCAGAAGCAATGGAGTTGCAAAAATTTAGGCATGAGATTAGGATAAACTTCCTAATAATTCACCTTTCCAAAAGTGGAATGGGCTGCCCCAAGAGGTGGTAGATTCCCCTTCCTTTGGGATCTTCAAACAGAAATTGGATGACTACTTGTCAGGTATTATAGTAGAGATTCATTTGGTATGTAGGATGGACTAGAAAATAATAATAGGTGACATTTATATAGTGCTTACTGTGTGCCAGGCAATGTGCTAAGCACTTTATAGTTATTTCTTTTGTTCTTCACAGCAACTCTGGGAAGTGGGTGTATTATTTTGTCCATTTTACAGTTGAGAAACTGAGGCAAGCACAGGTTAAGTGTCTGAGGCTAGATTTGAACTTGGGTTTTTCTGATTGCAGACCTAGCACTCCATCCACCAAGCTGCTTGCAATGGCAGATGGCTCTGAGGTCTGTTCCATTTCTTACATTCCATGATTTTTGTGGCCATATAGGCTTTATGTCACATGTAAGCCTAGTTAATATTCATAAATACTGTCAACATCATACAACATATAAACAAAAACCCCCATATGATTATAGCAGTAGTTAATAATCCAGTAGTCATTCATGATAAAAACAAACACTAGAAGGAATAGAAAGAGGGAATTTTTTTCTCATATTCTTGGTATTAAAATACTTAAAGTCAATAGTAGTAATTAAACTCTTTTGTAGAAATAGAGTTGATTTGAATTGTCTTATTACAACTTTTGATGTTTATTCCCAGACCCAAACCAAATTTGTTCAAAGGGGATCACAGATATCCGTCCTTAAATCCTGGAAGCCCGGTGGTGATACTCTACTCAGAGATTGGCTCTAAAGAATTTTATAATTTCCACCATCAACTTGTAGCAAAAAGCAGTTCAGGGAAAATAAATTATGTACTCAGACACTATATATCAGTAAGTATTGTTATTATTTTTTAACTTTTGTTAGTTGTTAGTTTGACCTGGCATATATATTTATGTTGTTCTTTTGCATCCATTTAGTTATTTAAATCACTCTTTAGTATTTTCATTGTCATCACACCTATTTATATTTTCTTTATCCATTTGTGTAGAAAGATTGCCCGCCTTTCCAATAAAAATTAAAAAGAAAATAGTGTTCAGGGTGGCCAAATGAAGTTACTACATTTTTATTCCAAAAAAAATCATAAATAGCATTTTCTAAATTGGAATTAGTTAGTGAACTGATATTTCCCATAGTTCTTGACAATTCCATTTTCCCAATTTTTTTTTGGCTCAAAATGATGTTGAGAAATGAGGTAAAATTAAGTTTAATGATTTTATATCATTTGTCACATTTAGCTAATTATTTTTAAAGTATTTTTTAATATCAACACATTTGTACATGGATTTTCCAACTTAGAGACATCTCATATATATTTTTCTGCCTCAGCTTGAGACTGGCCTCCTCATGACAGCTCTAAGAAATCCCCATCAATTCTCTTTATGCTCCAGCTGAGAATTCTTGGGACTTCTTTTCCCTGCTTCCACTAGAATCTTTGGAGGCTCACTCCAACTGTCTCAGTTGAGAGAGAGGAGAATATGTTCCTGGTGAGAATATGTTCGAGGTGGAAAGTCTGAATGAATATCCTGTGAAACAGTGTTATATAGATAGTGGTTATGTTTAACCCGATATATTACAGGTCAGATGGGCTATTTTGGATTATTCTGGGGATCTAATCACTGTTTATAATATTGTGATTCTATGGCAAAATATGTTATGTATTCCAAGCAGTCTACTTATGAAGTTCTGGAACGTGGCCTATTTATAAGATGACAACTATGTCTATTTAACTCAACACATATATTTTTTAAAGCCCTACCATATACAAGGTCTATGTATATGTATGCACATATGTATGCATCTATGTACATATATATACATACATATATGTATACCTGTGTGTTGTTACATAATAGTATTTCTTATTTTAGGAAACAAGTTCAAAAGATGTGATAATAATGGAGGTACCTATTTTACTTTCAGAATCCTAGTAAGGAAAGAGTCTACCTTTCGGGGTATGGTGTGGAATTGGCTATCAAGAGCACAGAATACAAGGCCAAGGATGATACTCAGGTGAAAGGTGAATTCTTAAAATAAGAACAAAAGTTGTCCTGTTTCTCTGCTTTTTACAGCTTAAAATTTTAAACTGATTTTGCCCTTTGAGAATTTTTTCTTCTAAATCCTTTGCAGAGACCTAAACCTTACTCCTTGAAATTTTGTTTACACTCTTGTCTGAGCATTTTTTGTGCTAACTAACACCTTTCTGGCCAAGAATGTTAGATACCTTTCACGGTTCTCCATATCATACTTTAATTAGTTAATGGAGGGAGTGCTGAACAGTGCAAGTCCATTTTTTCTCTAGCTTTCTCACTTCTTGTTTTTCATTTGTAAGAAAAATAATTTTGTTTACTTTCATCCAGAGTACATGTGGTATAACACTCCCCACTCACTTTATTTTTTTTTTTTGTTATCTTATGTATTTTCTTATTTGCATGGTTTATATTAAAGAACTCTTTCAGAAAGAAAGGGGAGGGTTGTGGTCATCTGAAAAGAGTCTCTTCTTTTTTTTAATCACATTAGGAAATAGTAAAAATGTGATTCACAAATCATCTAATAGCTTCAATGGAAAATAACAGCACTTAGAGTAAATAATGCAAACTTTTACATTCACTGTCAATATTAATGTACATTTTTTTTGTTTAGTTGGTTTAGTGAAGAAGCTGTCTGTTATAGTATTGCTGGTTTTGATTTTGGAAGGCTTCCCATCCTTTTTTCAAGTTTATGAATGTTGCAATTCATTTGTAAAATTTTCTAATATTTGAGTAGAAAAAACCTATTCTTACTTTATCAATAATAAAGAACAACTGAAAAAAATTTCCAACCAATATGTATTAGGACTAGCTAAAATTGAAAAACTAACAAAAAATAACCACTTTATATAGCCTCAAGTTGAATTTTTTGGACAGCAAACAAAATGCATGATAATATCTCATTAGTATTAGTGAGTGGTAACATGTATGATAACTTTTACTTTTGTAGGAACTGACACGAATGCTACAGTAATAGGTGAAAATGACCCTATTGATGAAGTTCAAGGATTCCTTTTTGGAAGATTAAGGTATGACTACCAGGTTCAATCAGAAATGATCTCCTTGGTCAAAATTTCTTAGTTGCTTGCTTTCCATTGCCTTTGGCATATTTATCTTGCCCAACTTTCAGGATCCTTGAATGAAAGAATTTTAATAAAAATAGTAATTATTTATTCTTCATAATGCTTTGTGCTGAGCACTAAACATACAGATAGAAAGAGGGAGGGAATAAGCATCAACCTACAGAGAGACTCAATGACAAGCTTTCTTGGATGTAATCTAAAATGAGATTGCTATTGTACATATTATAATGATTATGTTTATGATTTTGAGTAAAGGTAAAGCATAATCACTAAGGCATATACAGTATTATGTGTCTGCCTGTTTTTGTCATCTGGACCTGTGATTTGATTTCATATCAGCATGGTTGATCTCAATCTCATGATGAATATTAGGAGAAATTGAACTATTTTCCCAAAATTTTTGTCTGGGAAACAGTTTATTTTAGCTTGGGGAAGTGATGGTAGATACCAAAAATGTAAAAAAAAAAGTTATTTGGGGAATTATAGGGATCAACTGTGATTTTATAAGACTTAAATCCAAGAAAAATCCTGTTTTGTAGAAATGGACTTTATCTGTACAATGAAGGAATTGGGTTAGATGATTATCTTTGAGGTTCTTTCTAGCTCTTACTACCATGGTTTCATAATTCTAAGTACACTCCAATACACTGAGGCATTTTAAGGCCACTTAAGGGACCTTAGAGAGCAATACAAACTTTATTGCAATGTCTGTCAAAATTGGTAATTATGTATAACTTAATCAGAACTTTTTGTAAAATTTTGTCTGAGCATTATTCACTTTTCATAGGATCATAGATGTAAGATCTGGAAAAGGACCTTAGAGTCCATTTTGCCAAGTGTTCCATTTTATGGATGTGGAAACCAAGGCCCAGAGAAGTTAAGTGACTTTTCTGAGGTTATATACCTTACTAAATGACACAGGATTTGAGACCAAAACTTGTGCTCTTGCCACTATACCATATATCTTTTCCATTTTCTTAGGTGTGGAAAAAAGAGATGAAGTAGGAATCATCTTTGCTAATGGCTAGTATAAATGTTTTATTTACTTTAGCTTTAACATTTGCTAGAGTTATATATGACTAAATCACTAACAGATGATTTCTGGTTTATTACATGTATACTTTAAAATTTTTGTTTAACCTCAGCACTGATTAAACCATTATGTGGTCAAGATCAAAATATTTTTGAAAAATGATTTAGCAAGCATCTAACATCAGATTTTTCCATGTTAGTCTGGTTATTGATTACTTATAATACAAAGGTGCATTATGAAAATTATAGAGAACCTAAGTGACCCCTTCTAACCAAGGAACTTATTCATTTAAAATAATTTTTAAGGTAACTAGTGTAAATTTTAGGGTAACTAGTCTAAATTAAAGAGGGATTTCCTATAAATAATGAAGTTTCCAGAATCTTTTATTTATGCATGATACCATGCTGATTTCCTCAAGCTATGGAATAATTTAGAGCTTCCTAAATGACACAGGTATTCTTCATCAACTTGATTTTTCCTATGGGCTTGTCACATAGCAAAACTGAGGGATAATAGAAGGGTACCCCATAGAGGAATTCTCCACTATGGTGGAGATTTTATCTTAGGGATAAGAGTCGCCTACATAGGCACATGTGTAAAGATTGCAATCTACCTTGTTGGAAAGAGTGATTACGTGGATGAAATACAAATACAAATAGCAATTATTTGATAGTTTTATTGTGAAGAGTAGTGGAGTTACTATAGAAGTCAACCAGTTGGAACTGAGGGATCCAGATAGTACAATAAATTAATTTTTTCAGTTCTGTATATTGGAATACGAATTGCCTTCACTTCCACCTGTTAATGTAACCTTTTTTCTTGTAGTTAGGTAAAAAAGAGCTAGTATAAGGATTTGGCAAGTCAATTTTGGACTGAATGCAATTTCCCTTGCTCATTTACAAACTTTAAATTATCAGTTATAAGAGCTGATATTTTTCAGAACATAAATGAAAAGAAACTCAGTAGCCCCAGTTTGCTTCTGTTTATTGTCATCCCAGTTGATGAAAATTGTCTTCTTAATAAATGTTCATTGAAAGGACATTTTGGTGAATCCTACAGTTGTATATCTTTTTATCTCTTTTTGAATTTTATTTTAACCTTTTTTAAGTTACAAATAGGAAAGAAATGGGTAGGAGGAATTATATCACTATTTGATTGCTTTTAGTTGTAAAATTGAACAGAGGCTTAAAAAACAACAATCCCATACCAGATATTAACAATAATTTTATTAGTATGCAAATGTGTTTTGAATCAATAAGAGATGATTCGCACTTTGAATCTGACTTCCGTCATATTTTTGTCAGAGAACTCCATCCTGATATGAAGGACCAGTTAAAGGAACTCCGGAAGCATCTTGTGGAAAGTACCAATGAAATGGCACCTCTGAAAGTTTGGCAATTGCAGGGTAATGCCAATCTAATGAAATGATATCCTACCTGTAATTTATTTAATTTTATAATATAAGAAACATACAATTTGAAGACTGTTAAACCTATCTGACATTTCCTCTGTGGTATTAGAGTTCATCAGAAATTTTGAAACCAGTTTTAATAACCATGATAGATAATAGTAAATAGCAGTTGCAATATAGCTCTAGGACCAAATAGTTGGAGAGTAATATAGAGATAATATAGAATTGTAGGATGTGTATATTAGTTAAAAATTTAGATACATTCATAGTAATTTTTTTAATGTGCTAAAATTTAAGCATGTGATATTTATGAATTATTTATGTTGCTAGATTTTCCATTGGCCTTTGAGTCAACTAGTAGCTGTATTCCTAAATAAAATTTTTCTCACTTTTGAAAGGGTATAAAATGTCACTGTTGTTGTGGGTTTTTTTTTTCCTTGTTCATATTCTTTCACTTTGAGCTATTTAGCAAGTTTTTTCATTTTTCAGATCATCATTTACCGGAAGTTCTGATAAACCCTAGTTTTGGAAATGTTATAAATCCAAAGGATGGTCTAGGTCAGGGATGGGGAACCTGTGGCCTTAAGGCCACATGTGGCCTTCTAGGTCATTGGGTGCAGCCTTTTGACTGAGTCCAAGTTTTACAGAAAACATCCTCTTATTAAGGGCTTTGCTCTGTGAAGTTTGGATTCAAAGGGCCACACTTGAGGACCTAAAGGGCCACATGTGGCAGCAGATTCCCCATCCCTGGTCTAGGTTCCGTCTCAGCGGTATTCAAGTACAAAATGATTTCAAGAATACTATTTTCAGTAGATAGATCCTAAAGGAACCCAAATGTGTTGTGAAATAGATTTAACTTGGAATCGTGCCTTTAAAATACCATCCTTTTGAATGACTTCATTTGAAGGTCTTGTCTTTTACCAACAACAGAGCATGAAAAGTTTGTCAGTTATAAAGCATGTGTCTGTGTGTGTGCGTCCGTGTGCATATTTACCTGTGTGTGAACATCAGTGTACTATGTAATCATAGTTAATGTTTAGCATTTGGCTTAGACTTTATTCTTTGTTTCTTTCTTTTTTTTCAGATCTAAGTTTCCAGACTGCTGCCCGAGTCCTGGCTGCACCTCTTGAGGTAGCTTTGGTGGTTCTAAAGGATCTCAGTCAGAATTTTCCTACCAAAGCTAGGTAATACAGAAGAAAGCACAGGGAAATGTCCCTCTTTAACATAGTATCCGATGATAACCTGTCCTCTCATTTTGTTAAAATTCAAAGTGAGCTTTACTAAATGTAATAGAACTTAGAAAACAAGAGCACAGCATCAGTGCAAGGTGGCATTCTTTTAAAATATATGTTCCAAGATTTGCTTAGATCAGCATTTAAAACAGAAATACGTATGAAGTCTTAGGGAGATTTGTGGAATAAATTTTGTTGTTAACAATTCTTACATGATGTGTGTCTATATAATGCCTTATAAATATAATGCCTTATAAAAGCATTAAAATGTTGACATGAAGTCTAAAAAATAAAAATGGCATTTTGATTGAAACAATACTGCGTCTTGAAAGGGAAGAAATCTATATTAAGAAAAATGAGCAAGATGCTTATTTTGCTAATTTCCATTTCTCTCCTTTACTTGCTAAGTGTACTAGTAATTGTTCAACATGAGTTTTTCTATGTTGAATCAAACCAGACGCTATGCTTGTACATTAATGTAGAAGCAACATTTCGAAAATCTTAGTGCTCCCAAAAACCTCCTACTGTTCAATCTATATTATTTTTCTGCATTTGAATCAGGTTATCAGTGCATGTATATAGTTGTGTGTACATTTTTCTTAATTCTGAAGCTTTATGCAAGTTTGTGTCAAAATTCTGAAGTTCTCATTTTTTTTGGTTTCATATTCCTGCTAAAATGTTTTACCAAGGGATCAAAGTTAGTTCCCTTATATGTTATATGACTATTTTAAATCATTATAAGGTTGGTGCTAAGTTATTTTGAGCTCTGATATGAGATATTTGGGGTTTCTTTTTTCTTTTTAATACAGTTTAATACAGAATTGCCTGATAAAGCTTATCATAAATCATAAATTATCCAGTAATATCATTCAGAGATATTGAGTTGAACACATGAACACCACTAGTGAGTACTTAAATACAATGCTAAACTTGCTCATAAAAGTTTTTTATTCACTTTATAGGCATTAGAGATAACTTATGGCAATAGTATTGTTCTATTTTTAGCCAAGAGTCTGGCAGCAACAATACTGCTTTAGAATGCTTTATTATGGATCTTTTGGAAGTAGAGAAAAATGTGCTATTAAGCAAGAGGCTACATACTCATTTTTAAGGACTGTATTTTTTAAAAACCCTTTTAGTAATAAATTACCTAACACTTTAATAGTATATTCTTCAAAATCTGGCCCCTTCACATAAGTGAATTTGTATTTAATTTTGAGCCAAGCCAAATTAACTTTTTTGTTTCCTTAGAGCAATAACGAAAACTGCTGTTAATCAGGAACTCAGAATTGAAGTGGAAGAGAACCAAAAGGTAACTAACATCTTCCAGAAAACATCAGCTTCTACTTCTTTTTTTGGTGGTGGGTACGGAGTAAGATGGAAAATCTCTTTCAAAGTAGATAAATGTTAGTATCTATTTAATCTGGGTGCTTCACCAAGGATTTTCCAAATATACCCTTTTCCCCCTTTAAAACCCAGTGCTGTGAATTATTTTTTTTTTAAGAACTTTAACCTTGACTTACAGCCTTTCATCCAAACAACTTAGTGGTACCCATTGTCCTAGCCACTTTTGTAGTAGAAGAAGTGAGAGAACTCATTGGGGTCTTTAGTCTCTAATATAAACTACATTTCATAGTTGAATAATTCATGTAATTCATAGTAAATAATTCAGTAATGTTTTTGTGCTTGATAATTCCTCACTTAGTAATTAGTGCCTACTAGATTGTTTCATTGAGGTCTGAGTAATTCCGATGTACCTCAGCCCTTGCTTTGTTTCACTGCTAACCCTAGCAGGGCAAAATAACTAGTGGCTGTGGAGGGAAAGCCATCGCCTTCCATCACCATCTTTTATGAAGGAGTAGAAGCTGTTGCTGCTAGATACAAGACATGTCCATGTTATTGGGATTTTCAATTAATTTGATTTCTTATTATGAAGAAGAGACTCCATGCTGTATTCTCCCAGTTTCCTAAAAATTGTAGGAAAACTCCCCTCAGAGGCAAAAGGTGATGGTAGAAAAGAAGGTACAAAATTGGCACAAATTCTTCTTTTGAATGTCCTTTTGCATGTCAGCAATCTTTTTTTCCTTCTAAATTTTCAGTACTTCAAAGGAACTTTAGGATTACAGCCTGGAGAGTCTGCCCTGTTCATCAATGGATTGCACATTGATTTAGACACACAGGATATATTTAGGTATGGCTATCGGCATTCTTCATTCTTTGAAAAAATTTTCTGTTCTACAAGTCTTAATAGGATTTTTGCTCTGATGTTAACTTTTTTGACTATGTATTAGAAGGCTTCCAGTGTTAGATGAGGTTTACCCAAAGGATAATTGAGTATAGGTAGTTTTCGGTGTGATTTTCCATATGAAATATTGCCATCTTATAACACACCATCACCTGCAGTTGGTCTTCATAAATGCAGTTATGATGTCCATATTGATAAAAAGTAACCCTTTGCCCTCTTACCACTAAATATTTGTGTTGACCATCTTGGCTAAAAGGTCTACTGGGAGTAGAAGAACTGCATTCACCAGTGAAGGCCCTTTGGTGTGACTCTTCTGAAAAAAAAAAAGTTTTTGTTTCATTCATGTCACTGGAATGCTTCCAGAAATACTGCTGTTCATGTTCACTAAAGTGTTATCTAGTAATATGCTGTTAATTACCAAGTTGTGCTGAATTATTTCCTTATGCTCGTATTCTAATTTACTCTTGATTTGCATCAACCCATGTTTTTAAATTGAAATTTATCCTTTGACTCATAAACTTTTATATAATAAATCTTGGGTCCTTAGTATTAAACCACATAGTTAATAATGATTTGTAGGATGCAGTTATTTACAGTAAACCATCCATCTTGTCAAAATTAAGCTATGAGGCCCGCATGATGTTATGATAGATGGTCATAGAAAGCCAGTAAAATGTAGTATATATTTTAAGGTGCTTGCTCTTATTAGCACTGTTTTGTCTTAGGCTGTAATATGAAAAACATATTGAGTACAACAATTGAGTAAGTATTTAACTCAAATTAAATGTTGGTTCCTATAAAAAAAAAAAGGATAAAATACTTTGATAAAGTGGTGAATGCATTAGATTTGTATATTTTGATAGAATGACCCAAAGGCTACTTCACTAAAGCCCTGGCTGGGTTTTGGAAGCTGATACCACTGAAATGAAGACTCTGTCATTACTAAGTAGCAGGAAAAGCTTCAAAAAGGGCCTGTCATAGACTGGGTTTCTGTCTTGAGTTGTAGAGAGAGGAGTATCACCATAACAGCTGACAAACTTTTCAGCCACGCATATTCATAAGATTGTACATTCTTTGTCAGTAGAGGGAAGACATACACTAATGACATCACAGGCCTTTAAAAGTATTGAAATAATGAAAAGAATACAATTCTATTCACTTTTTAAAATTTAAACCAGCTGAGGTGTAGACTCTACCACTATCTGTTTTAGTTTACCTGCCAGGATCAGAACGTCAGCAGCTTTCAAGCGTTTGTAGGAATAATAACAATTCTGTAATTTATTTCAGCTTGTTTGATGTGTTGAGGAATGAGGCTCGTGTTATGGAGGGACTGCACAGACTAGGAATAGAAGACTTATCTTTGCACAATATTTTGAAACTGAACATCCAGCCATCAGATGCAGACTATGCTGTGGATATCAGAAGCCCTGCTATTTCTGTGAGGACTCTTTTAATTCTCAAATACATTATTCAAGTATCTTTAGCATTTTTTCCCTTGATTTTCTATCATAAAAAAATTGCTATACCCCTTACCCTATGACTATAAATTGACATTGTGTTACAATTCTTTGGGCCAGTTTTATTTTTCATTACTCAAGTTCATGTATAACAAAGGAGGCTACTAACATATTCTAAACATATTATGTTTGTTCTTCATCCAGTGGTTTATAACTTGACTTAGAGATACCTTAATGTTCGAAGAGTCATGTCTAAGGGTTTCTTGGAAGAGAATATAGAGTGTGTATTCTTAGTTGCCTGTAGGCCTTATCCCCACAAACTACTCTGAGGCTTTATCACCCAAGGGCAGGGGATAGGGATAGTTGTTTGTTTTTGGCTACTTGAGTTGAAGCTCCGAAAAGATCTTAACATTATATTAAGTAAATGTGTTTATAGAATGGTAACTTTCTTTTCTTTTTCTTTTTTTCATTTTAAAGCTTTTATTTAGTATTTTATTTTTCTCCAGTTACGTGTAAAAACAATTTTTAACATGTTTTTAAAACTTTGAGTTCCAAATTCTCTCTCTTCCTCCTTCCCCTTCCTCCACGCCCCCATTGAAAGGCAAGCAATTCCATATAGGTTATACATGTGTAGTCATGGAAAACATATTCATAATAATCATGTTGTGAAAGAAAACATAGGAAAAAAAAACCTCAAGAAAAGTAAAGTAAAAAAAAGGGGGCAGCTAGGTGGTGCAGTGGATAGAGCACCGGCCCTGAAGTCAGGAGTACCTGAGTTCAAATCCAGCCTCAGACCACACACTTGACACTAGCTGTGTGACCCTAGGCAAATCACTTAACCCCAATTGCCTTTAAAAAAAAAGTAAAAAAAAATGTGCTTCAGTCTGTATAGAATGGTAACTTACTTTCTTTTTTTTTTTTTGGTGAGGCAGTCGGGATTAAGTGACTTGCCCAGAGTCACGCTGCTAGTGAGTGTTATGTGTCTGAGGCCGGATTTGAACTCAGGTTCTCTTGACTCCAGGGCCAGTGCTCCATCCTCTGCGCCTACTAGCTGCCCCTAGAATGGTAACTTTCAGAGTGAAATATGAGTACTCTAAAGGTCTGTAGGCAAGTCTAATATTCAAGTCACTAGTAATTATGGGGTTTTTAGAGTATTTTTTTTTAACTACACATTTGAATCTACTTTACAAAATAAAAAACTGAGTATTTTAAAAAAAAATAACCAGGGTGACAATACAGAGGTACAAATGTTCTCCTAAGGAATTTACCAGTATCATGTAAATTTCAGAATGCTTTCAGAAGGCAGTGAGTACAGTAGTGAGGCCCTTTAAGCTCTGGAGGACCATAATTCCTTCTCATTGTAGTCCATGATTATTTCAAAGACGTGTTTTTAACTACTCAAACTAGAATGAGAAAAATGGATGAAAACAGATGTTGGACAAATTACAGCATGAAGTTGGGTAGGGAGGGTTGGGTTGGGTAGGTTGTATATACTATATATACTCTCCAGGATATATTTATAAATGGTAGATTGATTCTTCAGATGAACTGCAAGTTGGGCCTAGAATTGAATAGAAAGATATTAGGCCGGACCTCATTTAGGAAATCATACTTCACTTTCAATCAGTCAATCAATAAACATTTATTAAGCATCTACTATGTGCTGGCACTGTGCTAAGCGCTGGGGATATAAAAATAAGACAGAAATCAGTCCCTGCCCTCAAGGAGCTTACAATCTAATTAGGGGAGATAACAAGCATATTTTTATATACCATATCATAACTCAGATATTAAAGAATCAATGTAGAAAAAGAAAAATTACATCTCTATTGCTGAGACAAGATTTTTATCAAACAAATGGAAGAAATTATAGATGAAATAGGTAGTTCCAAGACTACACAAAAAAATTAACCCACAAGAAAAAACCAATATGAGATTGGAAAAAAAAAGTGTGCAAAAATATTCATAGTTGTTTTATTTGAACTAGTAAAAAACTGTAAGCTACCAATTTTCGCAGTGATTGAGGAATGGCTGAACAAGTTGTTATAGGTTAAAATAATGAAAACTATTGTTCCACTTTGTTTTATTTTTTTGGTGAGGCAGTCAGGGATAAGTGACTTGCCCAGGGTCATACAGGTAGTGTCAAGTGTCTGAGATTGGATATTGAACTCAGTTCCTCCTGACTCCAAGGCCGGAGCTCTATCCACTGCACCACCTAGCTGTCCCCTGTTGTTCCATTTTTAAAAGCTCACCTCAATTAAACAAATATTTATTGCCTGTCTTTTATGTGTGCTAGGTGCTTAAAATATAAAGACAAAAAGAAAACAGCTCCTGTCTTCAGGGTTCTTATGTCATATTAGAAAAAGATGTTAAATATGAAGCAATGTAGAAGCCATATTTTAATGTAAAGTGAAAAGACATAACTTGAAGGAGGGCTTATATGTTTATAATTGTATTAAAAACAACTTAAGATACCTTCAGGAGAGAAATTAAAATTTTAATCATATGAATATACATAATTGATTATATAATTATTGGAATTGTTTATTTTTTTTTGTTGAGATCAAGTCTATACTGTCTTTATTCTAACTTAATAACCATCAACCAAGCAAATTTTCAATTACAAAAACAAACAAACAACTTAGTTTGTTTTTAAAGTCTGTAGTAAATTTGACAGAATGCTAGCAGAAGTGTCTTACTTCCACATTCCCTTCTGAATTTTTTTTTCTCAAAATTTTATAGATTTTGTCCTTGCTCTTATTATATCAGTGATGTTTATATTCTGATCTCTGCTTTTTTATGCATTCTATAACTCTTTGCACTTTTGATATTCTTTATGTTTTGTTATAATTTCTTATGTCACAATAATATTTCATTATGTTTGAGTCATGATTTCTGGTTAACATGTTTATATACTATAATTTGCTTAGTAGCTGTCATTTCTTTGCTAATTATTTGTTGAGCCATTCCCCAGTTAGTGGCCATATGTATTATTTCCAGTTTTTTTTTCTTTTATGTATACTGTTACTTTAAATATTTTTGCACAAATAAGCCTTTTTTTCTCATTTCAATAATGTTCTTGGTAGTAGAATCACTAAGTTGGAAGATATGACCAGTTATATAGACTTTCCTTTAAATTATGGTAACTTGAATATAGGCAGGATCTGTGATCCCATTAGTTTGACAAACTGGTAATTCCTTTCACCAACGCAGATTGCCACCTGCTTGTGACTTAGGCAAGTTCTAGGTACATAGAGGTTTAATGATTTGCCTTGGATCTTGAATATAATACATATCAGAGGCAGAATTTGAACCTAGTTCTTCCTGACTCTAAGTCCAGTACTACATCCATTGTGTCAGTATACCTCTTATATTGTCATACTACTTTTCAAAATGAATACACCAATTTATACCCAGAGGGCAACATGCTTGTTTCTCTGCAGCTCTTCCGACAATGAATATTGTTATCTTAATTACTTTAAACAATTTAGTGAGTGTAAAGTAGTATCCAAATTTTTGTAATTTGCATTTTCTGATTATTAGAGAATTGGAACAGTTTTTCAGGTTGTTATTAGTAAAACATTTTTTTTCTTTTGAGGACCAATTTTTGTGTATCCTTTTACCACTTAGGAATGAAGAAGATGAAACTTTAAAATTTGTGTCAGTCATTGATTATTAATGAAAAATTTTTATCAGATCTTTATGGCAAATATTTTTCCCATATTTTTCTTTCTTTTATATTTAGGGTACATTTATTTTCTCTCCTTTCTAGCTTCCCACTCCCCTCCCTGCCTGGCTCACCTTTGTCCCCCGTTTTAAAAGAAAAACAAAAACCTTTTAACAGATATGTATAGTCAAGTAATTCCAATTCTCTCAGTGTCTCATTCTGCATATTGAATACATCACCTATCTGTCAGGAGGTAGGTAGCATAAAATGTCATGATCATCAATTGCGTTGGTCAGAGATTTTAAGTGTTTAAAAATTTTTTGTCTTTATAACGTTATTATATAAATGTTTTCCAGATTGTGCTATTATCCCTCTTAATTACTTACATAGAAACCATCCTTTTGGACACTCCGTAATTTGTTCAACCATCCTTCAATTGATGAGCACTTCTTTAGTTTCCAGTTATTTGCCATTAAAAAAAGTACTATACATATTTTGGTATGTAAGGGACTTTTTCCCCTTGCTTTGATCTCTTCCAGGTTGTTCAGCCAAGAGAAGGCATAGTGATTTTTGGGGTATAATTCCAAATTGCTTTCCAGAATGGTTGTACCAATTCACAGCTCCACCAAAAGTGCATTAATGTACTTGTTTTCCTGCAGCCTCTTTAACATTTGTCATTTCACATTTTTGTTACCTTTGCCAATCTGTTGGGTGTGAGGTGGAACCTCAGAATTATTTTAATTTACATTTCTTGAATTATTAATGATTTGGAGCATTTTTTAAATTTGACTGTTGTTAGCTTGGATTTCTTCCTTTAAAAACTGCCTATTCAAATATATCCTTTGATCATTTATCAAATGGGGGTTAGCTTTTATTCTTATAAATTTGAATTAGTTCCTTAACTGTCTTGGAAATGAGACCTATGCCAGAGAAGCTTGCTGCAAAAATGTTTTTTCCTGATTAACTATTTCCATTCTCTTCTTAGCTGCATTGGTTTTGTTTGTATGTGTGTGTGGGGAGACTTTTCAGTTTTATGTAATCAGTTTTGATGGCTGGCCAGTACTTGAATTCTGATTTGACAGCTTGTTGGAATGACTTACCTTTCATCCTTAGTTTTACATTTATATTACAAAATTCCTCATCAGGAGGTCTTAAGGTTGCTGTTTTCCTTTTATTTCCTTTTAAAAATATTATTCCCTTTAAAATGATTCTTGTGACGTTTATTACAAATTCTTATAGGTTAACAATTGTAAGATCTAGGTTTTTCTTTTTTTCAGTGGATCAACAACCTTGAAGTTGATAGTAGGTATAGTTCCTGGCCTTCCAGTCTACAGGAGCTACTTCGACCTACCTTCCCTGGAGTTATCAGACAAATCAGAAAAAACTTCCACAATTTTGTAAGCAGTGTTTTATTTATTTATTCATTCATTTATTTATTTAGGTTACAGTAGACTTAGTTGACTTTCATTTTATTCTTCTTCCCCTGAGCTTCTCTAGCCCTTAAATATAGAGATCCTTTCCCCCTGTTTCTGCTTCTCTTTACTTGATTTTGAGAAAAAATGATAACTTTTCAGATTATAAATGTTGGTATACAGTTGTTGTAGTTATTGGCTGGAAATATTACTTTAAATCAATAATATAAAGTCTGGAAATGTGATGTCTTAAACCTTTTCCAGTGCTAAGAAATTAGGTAGCTTTATGTTCAATATAGTCCTTTTTTAACTCAGAAAAAGCATATACTCTATGGAGATTGTATTATAATGATTTCACTTGGAAAGTACTTCTAATTCTCTATAATTTTTAGTTCTAGAAGGATTGTGACGTATTTCTATTGTCTGCCCTTTTTTTTTT